TTCACAGGCATTCTCTCAGTCCACATAAAATCTCCATTTTACAAATGAGGAAAGATGCCTTATCCAAGGTGAAATAACTAGAAAGGGGCAGATCTGGGGCTTGCATACAGGTTTCTCTGATGCCAAAGCCAGCAAGACTCTTTTATGCTTCCCAGTGCCTGGGGCTTAAACCCACAGCCCAAAACAGAAGAATCTTTCATTTGTCTGACTGAGCTGGCCAAGCAGATAACACCAATGGATGAGCCTGGACTCCCAGTCATCTTTCCAACCCTGTCCACCCTGACCCACAAGCCACAGAGAGAGACCAAACCCTGTGTGAGAGAGATATGTCCTTTCTTTTGGAGGCCCTGCCTTAATGTCATCTGTCCCCACTAATTGTTTTTTCAACTTTGAAAGATTATAATGTATTCTCTGGAAAACATTCAGCAGTAGGAAAGCCCTCCCTGGGCTCTCCTACTCTCTCACAGGTCCAAAACTCGTGGATGGTTCCAGAGATCCTTGTGTTCTGGAAAGTTCCCTGGTCAGTCCTTAGGGAACACGGGTGGCTACAGAGGAAGACCCTGCTCAAGCATGGTTCTTGATGCCTGGGCAGTTTTGGGGGGAAGATCACTTCAAACTCAGTCACAAGGTTCCCACATTTCTTGGGAGAGGAAGAGCCCTTCTCCAGGAACTTTTTGCTGCATGCCAGGCTTGACATCTTTGAACACGACAGGTATGGTCCTGATGTCTAGAGTTGGGGGAGAAGCCAGTAGCTGGTTTTGGAAGAGGCAGAGAAGTAAGGCTTAGAGCCTGGGGTGAACCTTCAGGACCTGACTTGCCCAGACTTCATCCAGAGCCTTGACTTGGGAGGACCATGAATAGATGGAAAGTGGGAGGAGAAGCAAGGCAAGGTGTAACCTGAGAAAGAACTTCTACCTCTCAAAAACATAAAGTCTAAAGCTGAATTCGTCAACTTAACGTTGTATAAGAAGCACCAGGAGCAGGGTAGGCAGCAGTGGGAATGTCTGTCAGTGGAGTCTAAGGACCATACACTTGGAGTCGAAGGAACTAGATCATCTCCAAGGACCCTTCTGGGCTGATAGTCTAATGAGGTTGAGAGATCAAAGCCTGAGAAGTAGGAGAAGGCCGGATTCTGACCCAGATGCCCTAAAATGTTTTGGAGTTCAGTGTGAGGGCCAGGTTATTTCCCATGGACCACAGAGCCTTAAGGAAAAGGAATTTGATGTCCAGACCTCAGTTAGGCTTTCAACTCCAGGGTCAGGCATGATCCTTCTCCCTAGTCCATTTCTCACCCTCACCTGCACTTCACTTCCTGAAGAGACAAAACTTTCTGAGCTGCAACCCTCCCCTATGGAGGGTGGGGAGGGGGAGGCTTCTCCCTAAATAAAGGCAAAGTACAAGGGACACTCCCAAACCTATGTCTCCCCTTTCTTTTTTTGCATTCATTCATTCATTCATTCACTCTTAAACAACTATTAACTAAATACGCTCTATGTGTGCTTGGTTCTTTTCTAGGGCTGAAGTTACAGCAGAGAATAAGACATAGTCTCTGACATCATGCTGTTTACATTCTAGGTGGAAGGAGAATGGGATAGACCATAAGTAGGTAGATAAATAAATGAATGAGAGCACTTAAAATTGTGGAAAGTAATAAAAGAATAGCAAAACAAAATGATGGAGCGGGGAGTTTTCTTCTGTCTATTGTCCTCAAAATAAAGTCCAAGGCTGCGAAAGCCCATCTCCATCTGCCCTTATTTACCTCTCCAGCCGTACCTCTTGTCACTTTTCACCTTGAACTCTGCTTCAGCCAAGAAAAACCTGCGTATCAAAGTTGGAAGGGGCCCACTTGACCCTTGATCCATTGGTTCTTTTAGCCCCAAACACGATCTCTTTTTCGCTACTTCTTTCATGTCTCTCACCCAGCTAACTCTTGCTCCTTCTCAGTCACTAGTTACTTCCACCTGGAAGCCAGCCCTGCTCCCACGAATCCAGGTGAGGTGCCCCTCTTTGTGCTGCGCTTTCTCCTTCAAGAGCATCTGTCACCCTGTGTAGCCAGTTTGCTGTTGTCCCTGCACCAGATCGTGAGCTCCTGGAGGGCAGGAATCACATCCTGTTCTCCCTGAATCATAGAATCCTCAACAGTTGGCACAGTGCATAGTACGTAGTAGATGCTTAAGAAACACCTGTTGGGCTTCCCTGGTGGCACAGTGGTTGAGAGTCCGCCTGCCGATGCAGGGGACGCGGGTTCGTGCCCCGGTCCGGGAGGATCCCACATGCCGCAGAGCGGCTGGGCCCGTGAGCCATGGCCGCTGAGCCTGCGCGTCCGGAGCCTGTGCTCCGCAACGGGAGAGGCCACAACAGCGAGAGGCCCGCGTACCGCAAAAAAAAAAAAAAAAAAAAAAAGAAAGAAACACTTGTTGAATTAATTAACACTCAGTTTAGTAAGTTTTAAGAGCTCATTAATATGAGGAAAAGACATGGACAAGGCATGGCTTTGGAGACAAAGAATTAATTGGAAGAAAAAAATTATAATTTCTCAGTCCTTTATGGGGTTCATATTCTAGCATCTTGCAGCTCTGATACTCCACCAGAGCCTCCTAAAAGGCTTAAGAGCAGTCAGGGCAGAAATTATTGACCCCACTTAACAGCTGGGGAAGGTCAAGCCCCAGAAAGGTGAATCTACTTTAGCAGAAGTTACCCAGCCTGGTGGCAGTAGAGTGCATCTGAACAAGTTTAGGGCCCCAGAGACATCAGGCCCAACCTCTTCATCGTACAGGGAACATGGATGGGGGTGCTAACAGGCAGACTCTGAACTAAGTGTCCTGGCTCATCTAAAGCTCAAAATAACTGCTTGAGGTGGTAGCCACAAAGGAGGAGACAACATGATTTACCCACAGTCCACCCTCACCCTGTAACCCAACCCGACTAGGCAGATTCTCCAGGCCACCACTCCATTTGTCCTCAGGGACTCCTTCCTGGGGTCAGTTCATGAGACACTGCACAGTCAGAGACTGACTAGGATGGACAAAACCTTAGAATTCTAATTTGTTTCAGAGTTGGGGACGGCAGGGCTCAGAGAGATGGGACTAGCCTATGGCACCTACGGAGATAGGATCAGGACTCCAGACTCTCAGTCCAAAACTTTCTCAAGTATACCCCTGACATGAACCTCTGAGTTGGGGAAGGGGTGACAATAATGTGGACCAGACCTGGCCATTTGTTATCTGCGGTCATGTTGGGAGAAGTGAGGGAGGAGGGGTGATGGGCTCCCCACTCCATCTGCTTGTCCTACTCTAGAGTTTATTAGTTCCCACTAGTCCTCATTGCTTTTGTGCATTGTCAGTTAACCAGAGGAAGTAGAATATGGGTTGTCCACTGTTTAGTGACTGTTTATGAAGGTCATTATTGCTACTCCAGCACAGTAGTCTCCCAGCCAAACAACAACATAGAGAGGATGGAGGGCAGGAAAAATGAGGCCAGCAGAGACATAGGTAGGGCTCCCTACTGCTAAGAGATGGGGAAAAGGGTACACATTTTAGGTTCCAAGAGAAGGGAAGGGACATTTTGTCTGAAAGCTTGGAATTGTATGCAGCATAGGTGTGACTCTTGCAGATGCCTGTCTTTGCTGTGGGTCCCTGGACAAATCACTCAGCCTCTTGGAACCTCAGCCTCTCAAATCAGAGGGTTGAATGAGATAGTTTCTAGGGACTCTTCCCGTTTTTTATAATTCTCCCTCCAATGACGTGGGCATTAGAGGAAGTGAGAGTCATTAACTCCATTTCAGGTAAATTCAATAAACATAGTATTTGCCAGGCCAGGTCCTGCTGAAGTTTAATTGCAAGATCTGAGGAAAAGAGTTAACATGCAAGCCTGAAATTGTTATGCTTAGAAAGATCTGCTTGCACAATTGGCCCTGGGTTGATGTTCAGCGACTTTGATTTCAGGAGGATTTCCACCATTCCCAGAACTGATAAGAGTGGCTCACTATGCCTAAACTATTTGGACAAACAATGTGGCTTGTGCTGAATTCCTGCTCTCCTTCTGGGAGTCTGGCATCTTGGTACATGCTAGGCAGAGGATGCCTACATGGCCAGCCCCCAATAAAAACTGAGCACTGAGTCTAATGGGCCTCCCTGGTGGACACTTTACATGTGTTGTCACACTTTGTTGCTAGAGGAATTAAGTACAGCCTGTGTGACTGAACTGGGAGAGGCCTCTTAGAAGCTTGTGCCTGATTTCACCCAGTCTTTGTCTCATGTACCTTTTCCCTTGGTTGATTTGTTCTGTAACCTATTACTGTAATAAATCATAGTGTGAGTATGATTATATGTTGAGTTCTGTGAGTGCTGATGGAAAAATCATTGAACCAGGAGGTGGTCTTGGGGACCTCAGACAGGGGATAAGCCTAGATTTCACAGAGACAACTATAATCCTATAGCAATGTTTTATGAATATACAGCTTAAACCCAGCACGATCCAATAGAAACATAATGTCAGTTGTGTATGTAATTTAAATTTTTCTATTGGTCACATTTTACAAAGTAAAAAGAAAGAGGTGAAATTAATTTCAAGAATATAGTTTCTTTAATCCAATATATAAAAATATTAACGTTTCAACACGTCATGATATAAAAATTTATCGAGATATTTTTACATTCTTTTTTTCTTATTAAGTCTTCAAAAACCAGTGTGTATTTTACATTCACAGCACATCTCAGTTTGGACTAGCCACATTCCAAGCGCTCACAAGCTACATCCAGCTATTGGCTGCCATGTTGAACAGCACAGGCTTACAGATAATGACAAGGACTCTGGAAACAGGACATCTGGGTCAGAATCCTGGTTTTGCCACCTACCAGCTGCATGACCTGAAGCGAAGTGATTTAACCTATGTGTTAGTTTCTTCATCTCTAAAATGGGGATAATAATGTTAGCTACCTCATGAAGTTACAGGGATTTTTCCACAAGTCAATAAATCTAAGGCAGTACCTGGTACATACAGGATGTTGGGTGAATGCTGGCTGCTCCTCTTATTATCCAAAAGGTTGGCCTTTGAGGTCAACTTGTCCAACTCTTTGTTCCATAGATGAGGAAACTGAGGCCCAGAGTTTGGAAGGCACTGTTTTGAAAAGCAGAGGCTCTAGCCACCTCTCTTCCTGTCCCCTGGCTAGCTCTAAGACAGCACCTGCCAATTATTTAGGAAACCAGCAGCTTCAGGGTCCCACCTAGGTTCTGCAATCCTGTCTTGATTGCAAAACAGTGCCACCATTTGAGTTGGCACTGAAGTGGTGGGGCTGGGCCTCCCTTCTGCCACCGCCATCTGGACCCATCAGTTGGGCTGGCTGACTCCGTCACTGAGTCCAGTGCTTACTCAGCACCCATAGGGCTGGCTTCCATTGTTTTCACTTTTTACGCCCTTCTTATTTATTAACTCATGTTCTATCTTCCTCAAAGACTCAGAGCATCAGCACTTTTTAAAAAACCTCCTTTTAATCATCTACAGTCCCCATCCACCCACCAAGCAGGTAGATAGGGAGCTCCCCAAATACGCCTGAAAAAGAGAGAGCGAAGGGGTACTGGGTGCCCACTTATCTGGGATGCAGTAGGGCATGTTCTCAGGCTGGGAACAAAACTGGCTTATGATTCCTCTAGAGTATCTGTCTCCACCCTTCCTTTCCTGAGACCCAGATGAAACCATCTGCTCTCCTCTGACAAACTCACACATCTCAAATCTTACTAGCAGCTGTAATCAGACCAGTTCCGTGGGCTCAAACCTGACAGCACATGCTGACCTCAAGATCTGTTTATTCCATTTGCCAAATAGTGTTTTATTTGGCATTTGTTTAATTAATAGATAGTTACTGAGAATCTACTGTGTATTAAGCCCTCTGCAAAGTGGTGAGAATGAAGCCTTTGTGGACCTTATGATTTGTTGTAGAAAACAGAAAAAGAAGAAATGATGGTAAAGTACAACAAAGGCTTGATGCAGAAAATGTCAAATACTCTAGGAACTATAATAGAATAAAGCAAGGGGACCTGAATAAAACTCTTTCCACGGTGTTGACATGATGCTGAAACCTGAAAATGGTGGGAGAGAAGCAGTAAAAGAGAGAGAACATGGAGAGTTCCAGACAGAACTCAACAACATAGACAAGACCTGGAGGTGAGAGAGAACCGCATGTTGGAAGAACTGGAGAACAGTCCAGTACAGCTGGGTAGAGAGAATAAGAGGAGTGTGGCAAAAGATGAGGAAGTGGCTGGATTTGGAGGATACTGTCTGAAGCGCTAAGGAATTTGGACTCTAACCTGAGGGCAAGGGGAAACATCCTGGTGGAGAATAACATCTTTCAAAACATAGGGTTCCTGGGAACAAATCAACCAAATGTGCTAGAAAGGCTTATGGTGAAAAGACTGGCAAGTGTTGTTTTCAACCTTGTCTTCATGATCTTTGTACTGAGGCTCAGACCTCCTTTGAAAGTAGTCTGCAGCATGAAGGCCCAACCCAACGGCAGGCCATGCTCCCTCAACCTCCCAGCCCACTGTCCATGAGATCAGTACTCCCGAGTCTGGTGCAGCACAGGTCTTCCTTAGACCCTTGGAACTGTAGAGCCACAGAGACCACCATGGAGAGATTGTCAAAGACTCTTGTCTAACAGATTGACCAACTGAGGCCCAGAGAAAGAAGGTAACTTGTCTGTGGCCCCACTGCAAGCCTCAGGCTCTGACTCCTTCTTGTCTCCCCCAGAGAAACCAAACAGCAGGGCTAGGACTAGGGTGAGGCAAGTCAGGCACTCAGGGTGCACCATTTAAAGAGGCACTCGCTCGCGGGTGCCAGCTCTGCACTTGCCTTACCCTTGTCCTGGCTCTGTTGGACACACTTCGAAGGCAGGGATTGTAACTTTCAGAAACCTTTTTGACATCTTTCATCGTGTTGACATGATGCTAGGCACAATTTTTTTTTTTTTTTTTTTTGCAGTACGCGGGCCTCTCACTGTTGTGGCCTCGCCCGTTGCGGGGCACAGGCTCGGGACGCGCAGGCTCAGCGGCCATGGCTCACGGGCCCAGCCGCTCCGCGGCATGTGGGATCCTCCCGGACCGGGGCACGAACCCGCGTCCCCTGCATCGGCAGGCGGACTCTCAACCACTGCGCCACCAGAGAAGCCCCTAGGCACATATTTTGAGGGATCCTAGATGCCTGCCGATGCTAATGAAGAATGGATTTCTGACAAACTGATATGTATACAGATGTTTGTATCTTTGGTTAAATATGACCTTCAGGAGACACCAGAACAAAGTCAAGAGGGCCTGAGAATGGAGTCTAGACCTGGATTCTGGTCCCCTGTCTGCCATCAGTTTGCTTTGGGAACTTGGGTAAATTGTTCCCCGTCTCTAGGCTTCAGCAAAATGAGGTGGTGGAATAAATAGCATTTACTGCCTACATGCTCTGTGTCAGCCCCTGTTCAAATGCTTCTGTGCTTTAACTCATTCAAAGAATTCCCGGCCTTCAACACTCCCTTCACTTCAACAGCCTGTGGTTTGAGGTAAGGAAGGCTTCCCAGAGAATGCGGGATTGAGACAGACCTTCCCAATTCCCACGGGGATAATACTATCTTAAATCATAGTAGAGGCATGGTATCTCAAGGCACTTCTCCATCAGAAGACAGAGAATCACCTGCCTCAGGATCACCTTTGGAACATGTCTGAAGGTGGAGCCTCAGCCTCTGCCGCTAGAGATTCTAATGCACTGGTTCTGAAGAGGGACCTGGGAATCTGTATGAACATCTTCTCAGGTGGCTGGTAGTCTGATGTGGGAAGCACTGATCCCAACGCAGTCCCCTATCGGTGGAGAGAATCATACCTAGACAGCACAGACCCCGAGCTCCCTGAACTGATCATCAGCATCTTGAAGCAGAGAAACGAAGTCATGGATTGATTAATGCTGCAAATATTAAGCACGTGTTGTGTTCTAGGCCCTGTGCCAGCGGGTGATTATGGTCCCTACTCTCAAGCGACTCCTGGTCTAGGTCTGTCACTTATTTTTAGAAACAAGTCATCTAGCCAGAACCAGAAGAGACTTAGAGAGCATCAGCCAATCCCATCATTACACAGTTGGGGAAACTGAAGCCCAGAGAGGGAAAGCAACATGTTCAAGGCTACACAGGGAGCAAATGTATTTTCTGCTCTCAAATCAGCTGAGGGATCCCAATGTTCTTCCCAGGAGAGGGCTGCATTCAAAATCCTAGGGCATTCACCCTTTGCTTTTTAAGAACTAAACCTACATAGAGTAAATAAATGTTCCTGGAAGTCTCACTTCAGATCTTGCTGACATTTTAGGTCCTTAATATCCCTTCAACCAGAATGGAGGCAGGAGGGAACAGGGAACACCTTGCGGGTGCCATCAACTCTTCGGTGCTTTTCAAAGCCCTTTCCCCGGCTGTGCTGAGGACACTGTGCCTGCCTCTTCCAGCACTTTAGAGTCTAAAGAAGAAAAGGGTCCCGCCTCACGGGTTCACAAGGAACTGGCTCCCATCTCTCTGTCCAGACTTGCTTATGTCACTGTCGCCCAGGGCCTGGGGAGGGGGAGAAGCGGAGGGTAAGTTGTGTCCGCCCCTGAAATGCCAGACGCCCTGCGATTGGCTACAAGGACTCCGGCCCGGCCGCGGATTGGTCATCGCTGAGGGCTTGAAAGGTGGATGAGAGCGGACGACACCTCAGACGGACTGTGGCCCGGGATCAGACAGCGTCTCCGGCGAGTCCGAGACGCGGCCCCCGCCCACCATGGCCCGGCTCTTCCGGGCATCCTGCCTTCTCTCCCTGCTCCTGGCCGGCTTCGTTCCGCCGAGCCGAGGACAGGAGAAGTCGAAGGTGAGTGAGCCTCGGGGATGGGTGGCCGGGGGATCGAACGTGGTCCGCAGGTGTCCATCTCTCGGTGGTGAGGCACCCTTCTTCCCGGGCTCCCCACCAGTAGGGTGACACCTAGGTGCGAGAGACGCCCTAGCTCCCGTTGCCTCCCTCTTCAGCATACCCAGACCGTCGTCAGACTCTTCGCGGTTCCACCTGTTGGAGACCTGGGTGCCCCGGGTGGGCAGAATGAATGAGGGAGGAAGGGTCTTCTCTCCCGGTCCACACTTTCATCCCCACGGCTACCTGCGGGTCGCCTTGCTACCTCCAAGCCACCGTCTGTTTCTGAGATGTTCCCCTCCAGTGGGGCCTGAACGGGGTGGGGGGCACAGAAAATGGCCTGGAGACTCAGGGTCTGGGTTGGCTGCAGAGGTTCCCAGGGAGAATGGCTGGCAAGGTGAAAGGGAAGGAACGCGCGGCTGTGTGGTCCCCGTCTAGCCCAAGCATAAACGCAGGTAGCATTCTGGGATACTGGTAGAAGACGCAGAGGTCTGTGACAGAAGGAGCTCTGAGCTGGCGGCACAGACGCCCAGGATGCTGACTAGATTCGCTTTTCCTTTGTGGACCTCAGTTTCTCCACCTGTAGCAGGTGGGAGGACAGGGCACAGTGAGGCTGATGATTTCAGAGGGGTTGCTTGGAGAAGCTGCAAAATCCACACGCTGTTCTCTGAAGTGTCTCCTGTTTGGGGGCAGCCTCACTACTAACCACCCACTGCCCATCTTGGCCTGAGCAAACCTAGTAGTTGGAGAAAGCTGGGGACTGCCAGCTCGATAGGAGGGGCAGAATTCTCCTGAGCCTCAGTCTATCCCCAGCAAAGTGTGTGGCCCTTAGCTAGAGTGGAGATGCTGAGGCCGGGAGCAGGGGTGACCACACATGCTTATCTCTTTGGACAGTATATGCCAAAGTGGGTGCTGTAGATCTCTCCTCTTCCCCAGGGTGGGGAGGCAGAAGCCAGTCATAGACCCAAAGAGAGAGATTTATGTCTCCAGCATCCCAGTACACACACACACACACACACACACACAACACTTGTATAAGCTGAAGAAGAAGCTTTGCACTTGCTGTGTTTCTCAAATCTTCCAGATCTTAATTCTAAGATCTTATGACTCCATGATTCTGTTTCCAAAATCGTATCTACTGTTCAGGAAGCCCATTCCAAACACAAGGTTTCTTCTGTCTGTTTCTATCCCCTGTCCTGTCCTCAGCCTAAATTCGAATCAGTCTGCTCCTGCTTGGAGTCAGCCTTGAGACTGGATGGTTATGGGGCCACTTCCTCTAAGCCTCTGGCTTTGTATCCAGTCCTGTTCATAATCTCCAACTCAGAAGGTATTTTCCAGGGCAGGGATGGTACTGAATTTCAATATTGGGGTGTGGAGTAGAAGTGAGGGTAGACCATGTGTAGGGCAGTATCTTGGAGTCCTATAACCTCAGTTTGGGGAGAAGCAGAGAAGGGAAGATGGGCCCTGCTTCAAGAAGGCTGGAGGTAAGAACATGGATCCCACGAATAACTCATCATAGCCATGTGTTCTCTGTAGAACTCTGGGGAGTAGATGGATTCAGAGAAAACAGGATGGGTATGGTCTAGAAAATTCTTAGGGTGAGGTGTGATCATATCAGATACAACCAGCTAGGACTTGCTAGCTAATGACAGTCTGGGCATGCCTATTTCTCCTCCAGGTCCTGAGAGGGCTGAAATGTCATAGCCCTGGGTTCTAGGACTCAACCACTTATCCTACCCCAACTCCAGGGCCAAGCAATGGGGCAAGGGGCAGGTGGAGAATGGGATGGACAAAGGGTGAGAGCCCCAAAAGGATGTTTGCCTCCTCCCAGTTCAAAGGGAGGGGCTGGGTAACAAAGGGAATCCTCCTTTCCTTGCCGTGTCCCCTCTCCAGTCCGGTTTAAGCCTGCCCAGCCTCCCTGTCCTTCCTCTACAAAAGGACTTTGCAGAGACTAGAGAGAATAACAACCGCTGACGTGCGTGGGATCCTAGTAACCGCTGGTTTCTAGGTGACTAAACCAGGCAGAGAGAATCATGGAACCACCGGCTGACAGTCAGGGCTGAAGAGCCCTCAAGACAGCACTGAATCTGACCCCACCTCACAGCTGTGGAGCCAGAGCCCCAGAGAAGGGACAGGAGTCCTCACACAGAATCAGAGGCCCAGCCAGGCCCAGAACTCAGGTCTCCTGCCCCCAGCCCAGCTCTCCTCTCACACTTTCACACTGATGGGAGTGGGCAGATGGGTGAGGAGAAAGACACAGGACCAGCAACCCAAGCCAGCTGGGGTCCTGGCGGGGTCCCCCCCTCCAACTCTCAAGCCATCGAAACTCTCCTGTCTTGTGCAATTGTGGGAGGATAGAGGCACCCTCACTCCCTCTCCCCCCCTCCACCCACAGCTCCTCTGACATCCAGGTTAAGGTGCAGGGTTCTGGGACTCCATGGGCCCAGAAAAGGGGAGGGGGCTTCCGTAAGGACTGGACGTGTGCTCAGTGGTGAATGCAGGCCATGGCTTCCCCCACCATAGGCGCTCTCTGACCCCTCTCGGTCGGAACTCACAGCACTGGCTTCACTGGCCCAGTAGAAAGGATGGAGGCTTTGTCACACATCCCTTCTCCTGTAAACACCCTGCCCAGTGCATCATCTTCGTCATACTGGCTGGGGGACATCAAAGCCCTCTTCACAATAAGGTAGGAACGTCAGCTCCCTTTACCCTATCCCTTGATGGGTGGGTGGGGCAGGGGGTGGGTACAGATTTCTCTCTAAGAGGCTTGCAAGACAGTTTTGACCTGCTAGTAAATTCTCGCAGCCATTTTGGGAGGCAGGTGGTATTATCCTCTCCCGTCAGCAGATGGAGGCTCAGACTGAATGTGACTTGCCCAGGGTCACACAGCCAGCAAAGACTCAAATCTAATGAGAGGAGATTCCCACCCTGAAACTGGTTTCATTAGCTGATCCTCCCGCTGTTTACAAGCTTCCATTATTTAGACAAACTCTTGGCTGTTTTTCTCCCCATTTCACAGTTTGTTTTCAGACCGGGGTGGAGTAGAGAGGCAGGC